GATTTTTTCATATCGAGCGCACATATACATACTCGCTGCATAACTTCTCGTTACTTGGTGTACGCGCAATTTAACCTAGCTTTGACATTTTGAGCTTCAATTCGTTACACTTTCCACGTGTTTTTTATACTTTTCATTATAAAGTTAAATCCACAATTTAATCGGGTAAAAACGTAAATTCTTTCGCAATGCCTCCTGGGCCCAACAGGTAACAGGTTTGCACTATTATCCCCTGGTCCTAAAAACAAGAGGAAAAAGCCAGAAAATTCAATCCTGGAATTCTTCCTGGAATTACCTATTTCTAAGAAGGATGATCCCAAGTACCTCGTAATCAAATCACAGGACGCCAGAAAACCTATTGCATCTACTTCTTACTTTGCAGTACATAAAGATATTCAGGCCATAAGCAAAGACATTAACAAAATCACATCGCTTCGTGACGGCAGCCTACTTCTTTTGGTCAAGAACCAAAAAAAGGCTGACAAATTTTTACAAACCAAACATCTTCCCGGAGCTGGTGCTGTTGATATATCTCTTCACAACTCTCTGAACTCAGTAAAGGGTACAATTTGCGCTCCATTTATCTCTCAGCTTGATGACGAAATAATTGATGGTCTAAACGATCAAGGAGTATCCGATGTTCATAAATTTACCAAGATAAACAATGGTGATCGTGTACCTACTGGTGCTTTATTATTAACTTTAGATAAATATACTTTACATAGTCGTATTGAAGTTGCCTGGTGTAAACTCGATATCCGTCCCTACTATCCTAATCCCATGCGCTGCAAGAATTGTCAGTTGCTGGGTCATACTGCTAAGCGATGTAATAAGACCCCATCTTGTGCTATCTGCAACCTACCCCCAAATCATACCCCTCCCACTGAATGCTCCAGAGTAAAATGTGCTAACTGCGATGATGAACACCCTTCTTCCTTTAACGCCTGTCCAAAATTTGTCCAGTCTTAAGAGATACTTAAAATTAAAACTATCCACAAGGGTTCGATGCGTGAAGCCATCAATTTATACAAATCTCTAATGCCTTCTACTCCCTCACCATTCTCTTATGCTAATGTAACAGCTTCCAACATCAATACTTACTCAAACATCGAAAAAACTTCAAACACTAATGATTCTAATGACGACATTAAAGCTACAACTTCAAACAATAATGCTTCATCTCCTACCAACATACACGCAATCCATAATGATTGCCCCGAAACTCCTTCTCCCTCCGTTTCTTCCCTATACAATTCTCCCTCTCCATCCTTCTCACCACTTTCCACAACTACTTCTCCTACCACTATAACCCGTTCCACAACTTCTCCTGTACCCTCCTGCCATCCACAATTACAAACCCAAGTATCCATATATACATAATTCTAGATATTAAATTCCAATTAAAACTTACATTTTTCATATGTACATATATACTTTAATTTTCTTTATTTTTCTATGTTAACTTTTCCTCAATGGAATATTAGCGGATACATTAATAACTACTTTGAACTTGAAATTTTAAATTAGAAATATAACCCCTCTGTAATATTATTAAACGAAGCTCATCACTCATACTCATACTCCAAAAGCCTATGTTGGTCACTTTTATAACCTTCCTTCCGTCACATCATGCAAACAAGGTATTGCAATCCTGATTAAGAGAGGTATACCGCATAATATTCTCCCAATATCTGCTTCGAATATCTCTTCCGTTGCCATCGAAATTTCCTCCCCCCAAAAATCATAATCATCTGTGCATATTCCCCTCCTCACCAAACTTTTACTTCAGCAGACTTCTTTAACCTTTTCTCTTCTGGCTCGACTCCTTTTTTACTGGCTGGTGACTTCAATGCCTGGTGCCCTCTTTGGGGTTCTTCTTCAACTAACTCCAGGGGCCGCATTATTGAGGATGCTGTCCTCTGTTCGGACTGTGATGGTTCCTCTACCCATTTCTCCACTCATTCCACCTTCACCCATATAGATCTTACAATTTGTTCCACTTCACTCTCTCCCAAAGTTGTTTGGCCTTGTATAGATAATTTGTATGGTAGCGATCATTTTCCTATCATAGCCAAAATCTCCTCTCATAATTCCAATTTCTTCAAACAGAGAATATTTTTAACACTGATTCAGCTGATTGGCCCAAATTTCAAGATTTTTGTTTACGTTACTCAGACACCCTCCCTTCTACAGATATTATTAATCAGGAAACTTCTAGGAAGATCTACTGCCAATCAATCTATATCACAAACCTCTCCTAAACCTCGTAATCATAACCCTCCTTGGTGGGATAGTGAGCTATTTTCTCTTAGACTGCATAAGCAACAAACATGGCATCATTTCAAACAAAATCGTTCGTCATCAAACCTTGTTGCTTATAAAAAAGCTAATGCCATTTTCAGAAGAATAGCGAAGCAAGCCAAAGTTAAATCTTTCCAGACAATTACCAGCAGCATTAATTCCTCTTCCGACCCTAAAATGATTTGGTCAAATATAAGAATACTATCCGGCAATATTTCTTTCTCTCCTATTCTCTCACTCAACGCCTCTCAAGGCAATCTACTATATCCACAGGATATAGCTTTAGAATTCGCCAAATTTTTCTCGTCAAACTTTTAGAAAAAATTGTTGCTACTAAACTCTCTTGGTTTCTCCATTTCAATAAACTCATTCATTCAAATCAGGTTGCATTCAAAAAAGGACAAAGCGCTATCGACGCTCTTTTACACCTTGACCACTTCATATGTGACGCTTTATCTAATAAAAATCACGTTTCACTTCTTTCGCTTGATTTTGAAAAAGCGTTTGATCGCGTTGGCAGACCTCAGGGATCACCGCTATCAATTATTCTGTTCACCATAGCATTTGATGAAATCAGCTCTATCCTTTCTTCGTTCCCTAATATTCAGCATCAATTATATGCTGATGATCTCTTTCTATTTTCAAAATCTTCAGACCTTAGTTCTATATCCTCTACCTTTGAAGAAATCCTTTCTCAACTATCCCTATGGTCCCTTTCCGCAGGCGCATCAATATCATACTTAAAATCCAGTTTACTCCACATTTTTAAAAAACATAATTGTCATTTTCCACCGATTTCATTCAACAATCTAAATATTTCATGTTCTCCTACACTTAAGTTTCTTGGATTAATTCTACAACTGTCCTTCATATATTAGAATTTTGTCCAACACTGAAAGATAAGAGAGATTGCCACTTCAACACAGATCCGATCTCCCTCCTTTCCAACGCTACGGAAGAAAATATAAAAATCATCTATCGTTTCTTAAAGAATGTGATCTATTGAGGAGAATTTAAGCCAACACATTTATTCAAGGGACAGCTGATAGCTGCATGTTTTAGGTTGTACATATGTTATTAACATTGTATAAGCTTTTATAAATAAAAAAAAAACAAAAATATTCTGTATAGCGATTACGTCCATTTAGATGAATCTATTACTCATTCCTTAATGAAAAAGAATAATGTCTAAGATTATTCTGCGCTAAAAGATCAAGCAGACTGGGCTTGGGATGATCAAAGCACATGAGTTATGAGGGCTCTAGTTGGTACAACACCTTTAAATATGAAAGGGCTTTCATATTTAGCGATGATGTGATAAAAAATGATTAAGTAAAATTTACAAATTCTTTTTTAAAATTTATTCCTTTTTTCATAACATAACATAACTTAACATAAACTATCATAATAACATAGAAGAAATGGATTAAATTTTAATATCTCTTACTTGACAGACGATAAGGAGAAAGTTGAAAACTGCTGTGTATGAAGTGGGGTGTCAATGATAATTTCCTTATCTTAAACTAATTTTTCAACTTACGCAAAATAAAATTCCTTTTTTTTAATTTTAAACAATTTTAAGAACATTTTAATAAATTCGATTTTCGTTTATGACAATATCAATAGCGGATAATCATTGCGTCTGATTTGACTCATCGTCGCCGGAATCACTTTGTATTTCTGAGGAATTATCGTCCTCTTTCTCTGATGCTTGCTCATCGGCGTCGGAATCACTTGGTATTTCTGAGGAATTATCGTCCTCTTTCTCTGATGCTTGC